AAGAGGGTGTTTTTTTACTTATGATTTTTGTGCTGTAACACCTGGGTTCGCCTTTTTATTGCTATCGTTCTATGTTTTTGGTTCATATAAATATATTGAATACATATGTGTTACCAATTCGATTTGTAATGCCGACATCTTTTGGTCTATCATACTTGTTCATTAACACATATTGTGTACATTTTTTATGTCTGGTTTATTAAAGTGTTAGAAATATTTGGATGTCCATTAATACTCAATATATACGAACCCAGCTAACTATAAGTAATCATCACTGAGTAAAGAATCCTCGGCAGAGATTACCAGTCTCTAAAATGACCTGCTTACGAGACTGAGACAACGTATGCAACAAAACACCAAACAAGTTAAGTGGCAAGCTGCATTCATGTTTATTTAAAGGCTGAAAGTATAAAGCCTTTCTGTGTGTTAACGACAATCGACCTGTCATTCCTTGTAATGGTAATACTGAATACATTCAAATTAATACACAGAATGTAGTATATTATATTACTACTATTACTACCACTAAATGGGTAGAAATCGCCTTGAATTTCATGGGCCTAGTTAAATTCACCTCATCTTTGGTGCAATATCATTTTCTTTTGCTTTGTTCATTCATCTTTGAAATATACTCTGAGGAATACTTGATTATGGGGAGAAGATGAAGGGTGAATTAGACTCGTACTAACCCAGGTTTGGCTTGCTTATGAGAAGATCCCATTCAGCCAGCCGTGTGATGAGAATTCTATATTTCTGCCAAGTCTCTCCGTTAGGCTCAGTGTCGGTTTATTCATGAAGACATGAGGTTTCGATCCGGTTTTAATTAACATAAAATGCAACCCAATGTAACACGACTTTCGAAATAAGTAAACCTGTTTCCTTCTGTTATCTTTCAAAACACGAACCCTTCATGTACTTATTATTCAGTTTTTATAAGAATTTTGTTTCTATATACAACAATTTTGGAAAACACGAGTATTCTAAGGTTAAAGGTGGTGGGATCCCGTAGCTGTCAATGACATGTCCTAGGATCTCCAGATGCGGTTGTAATAGCTGTTTTAGGTGTGTCTTTCTCAGACACTGGAATAATGTGACAAGCACGAACCAAGTCAATTTTGGTAAGTAAACCCATGGAAGTTGTCGCTGAAACCCGAGTTCAAGCGTCATTATTGTCCACCTCAACGTCTGACCATATATGTGTGCAGTTGAGCATTGAAGAGTTGAAGATTTCATCTATATATTTCTTATACTTACGCAGAATCGAGATACATTTTCACCCTGGACGATTGCCTAAGCTCGTTGTGAAGACATTCTCTAGGAGAAGTCCTAAACGATACTCCATGGTTACTCCATCCATTTTATTGTAGAAGACATCTTTAAAACTAAACTGCGCATTAAGCGTGCATCTCAACAAAAGCCGCCTTACAAAGTTAGTTGGCAATCCAATTTTAATGCTTTTAAGATCAGTGTAACCCCATAAATGACATGGTTTCTACTAGTGGTATAGTTGAAAACATCTAATGACATCATACACTTACCGGTCACATGAATTCCATCAAGGTAACTCACGGAGTCAAGAGTGTCCTAAAGATAATGTTTCCTTAGATTTGGTCTCGTTGGCTCGCTGAAATTCTCAGAACCGTCCTCAGCCAAATCATAGTACTAGAGAAGAAACTGTTCATGAGTTCGGTGTTCAGGTGTGTCGCTTTCACTGCAGTGAGTAAATATCGTTCATCCAAATATATTAAACGCTACTTTTATACAGCGTTTTGGCATTTAACATTTACCAGCCGAGATATAGTTTGACACTACCTCAAGGATAAACTCGAACTTATGTCCACCTGAATGTGCACATACACACGCCCGTATGGAGCTGATTACATTGGACGTTGTGAGCGTGTTCTTCGTAACCACGTGACTGAACACCACCGGGTTTGGTTGGTGAAAGGCAAGCATACAATGACGAAGTCTTCACTTTGTGAACACTTTGTGGAGTCATGTCATTCAGCCTCATGTGATTTGTCCTTCAAAGTTATTTACAGGACCATATCCAAGCACTCCAAAAGCTTACATCTTCTCCACGTATACTTAGCCGGAGCTCTAGCTATATATGGAAGCAAACTTAAATTGTGTTCAAAAAACGATTTGCTAATCGCCTTTCTTCGCCTTAGTCATAGTAATGTCCTCTTATTTCATCCAATTTTACATATGTTTACATATATATATGTATATATGATTTTCAAGAAATTATATCGGGTGAGGGAATTGAGTCAAAGGTGTGAATACATGAAGTAAAAACAGTAGTATGAAATGCAATTAAAATGTTTGTGATTTCAATCATAG